GGCTGCAGCGACGCGGCCCGGCCGGTTGGTCGCGCCACTGGTTCGTGTTGCGCGGCGCAGCGCTGCTCTACTTCCGCGACCCGCACGCCGAGCACCGCGGCCTACTCGACGGCGTTATCGACCTCAGCGGCGTCGCCAACGTCGTAGAGTTGCCCACCTCCGCTTCCACCAATGGATACGCTTTTGAAACTGAGGTAAAATTTAAAACGAATGTGTATCATTTGAGCTTTGGCAACTCATTGAAAAAAATTACTTTGAAGTCGATGGTATCTCGCTTAGCAATAATTAATTTTCTTTCCTCGTAATGAAAAATAATAATGATGTCATATTAGTTCTCGTCGTTGCAGACGTGGGACGGCAAGCACATCGTGCTAGCAGCGGTGACGGCGGGCATCAGAGCGAACTGGGTCTCGGCGATCCGCAGGACGGCCGGCCTGCCCGACAACGGACCGCTGTCTTTGATTCTGCGAGAGGACAGTTTGGATCAAGTGTCCGAGTCCTCCACTTCACCCGTGACGCCGATTACACCAAATACCGGAAAATCTGCACCGTTCTCGTCGGACGAGGAGTACAGAACGGCGTCCGAGGGCGGGAGGAGAGACAGCGCGGATTGGGGAGACATGACGCAGCCGCCGGCCTCGCCCATCCTCAATCGCACTCCCATCTCCAGAGTCAAGGAAAAGGTTCGCGCTAGATCCTGTCATCAACCACTGATGAGAACGGATTTCAAAGACGAAAAGGACGAAATAGATTCAACCAAAGAACGCTCCATAAACGAAGTGGACGAAAATGAGAAGCCAGCCGAGCAGAGAAAGCGTAGTTACATTTCAACTATTGACAAACAGGCGATAGAAATTGATGATTTACGAAAACAGCTAAAATTAGCGCTGAGTGACGTTAATGCGGCGGAGTCCGAGCTCGCGAGACTACGAAAACTGAAAACCGAGGCGGCGCTACGAGAAAAGAAAATGGAAGAACTGGTGACGACCTTACAAAAGAAAGAGGAAGAACTTTCTGTACGTACTAAAGAAGCAGAAAACTTAAACGCGATAAAACAGCTTTACAATCACGATAAAACCTCGTGGGAGACGAAGCTTACAGAAACCCAACAGTTTTTAAAGGAATCGACGGAACACTGCGAGTTACTAACGAGGCAGCTAGCATCGGCCCAAGAAAACATTAAACAGTTGCAACGAGAATTGAACGAACTCAATGAAAAGCTTCTTAAAAGCGTTAAAGAAAATGAGAGCTTATACTCTAGGATCAGAGATTTGGAAGGTCGTGCAGGATCAGAATCCCCATCTAAGGAAAAGAGGAAGAGCATCGGATCACTAAGCGATCTCACGAACATAAATCAAGACCTTAACTTGGATTCCTTGGAAAGGAATAGACTTATCGAGGAATATGTTGAACTGAGAGGAAGGTTTTTAAAAGCCATTCAAGAAATCAAAGCCATGAAGAAGGAGCTCCGAGAGGCACACAACATGTATGACGAACTCGAAATAACGAATATGAAATTAAGAAATGAAATGAAGCTTAGAGAACAATGTAGCAGATCAGAAATAAATCTAATGGCAGCTAAAATTTTAGATCTGACGCAAAAATTGACGGCGTCCGACAAGCAAGTGCGGACGCTGAAGCATAAGATACAAAAAACTGAGTCAAGGGAGAAAAGACGCAGCTTGTCACTAAAGGGACGGGAATCTTTTTCCCTAGGTAAGGAACTTGAAGAAAAATTAACAGAGTTAGAGAATAAAATTTCCCTTCTCGAAACCGGCGAAGCGGTTCCTACCATACAGTCTCCTTCCAAAAGTGGATCACCTGCCAAAGAAAAACCAGCAAAGAATGACAATATTACGGACGAGAAGCGTTTGAAAAGGTTAGCAGCGCGATTACGAAGAAAGTCCTTAGATAGCGCTACAAGTTCTGAACCCATGAAAATGTTAGTCCGCCTGAGTTCATTGGAAACCAAAATTTCATCTGCTATTGAAAATCGGCGAGACTTAACAAATTCCTGTGAATCCTTGAGCATAGCAAGCACCACCACCGGAACCACCGTCTCTCCTGACAACCCCTCAATGAACGAAAGTCAGGAGAGCTCAATCGGTACACAATCACAAAGGCATCTGCTCGATCGGTTACAGAGTCTTGAAAATGTGGTCATACATTCGAGAAATAAAGTAAATGAATGTCTTTGTCAAATGAGTGCCATGAGGGCCGCGAAATCCCGTCGATCCCCATCACCGAGTCTGGAGAAAAAATATAGCATTAAATCAATGGAGAAGTGCTTGTCTGATGTCAGTAAAAGGTTACAGGAGTGTTTCGACAAATGTGTCGTGGAGTGCCAAGACAAGGAGGAAATAAACGATAGCGTAGCGGAGGTTGTCGTTCAGCTAGAAGAACAACTAAGGACGAAATTACTAGAAATATCTAAGAAAAAGGCAGCTCTATACGAGGCCGGCGAGTTGACGCAACGAAAGAGCTTAGAAATACTGGCAGAGAAGTTGGCGTACGAGGCCGTCCTCATCGGCAGGATACAGGAGGCTCTACAATCTTCCAACGGAAGCAAATTCTTCGCTAGGTTAATAAAGTCTGAAATAAACGAAACTAGTCAACTAATCGATAACCTTAAGTCTAAGATTAACGGTGAAAATTGCAAGAACATTAATAACACGAAGAGCTCGCTCGACTACCTAGCGAGGATACTGTCGCGGAAAATCGACATAATGAACAACAAAGATACGAAGGAGTTCAGAAAATCCGAACTAATAATTCAAAGCGCAGACCTCGAGGCTCTGAAGGCGTCACAGAAGGAAGTAGCGGAGGCCGTCGATAAGTACAAGAGTGAGAAGCTGGCGGAACTGTGCTCGGCGCTCGCTTGCGAAACGCTTAGCCACGCCGCGCCCGTCGACGGCGACCTCGACCAGCAACGGGCTAACGTGGAAGCGGCGCGCGTCCGGGAGGCGTGGGCGGCCGCGCGCGACGCCCTGGGCGGCGAGCTGGTGCAGGCCGAGGTGGCACGAGCTTTGGCCCGCGCCGCGCAGGCCTGCGACGAGCGGCTGGACGAGGCTCGCCGCGGCCGCCTCACGCTGACCGCGCAGGACCGCGCCGACCTCGAGCTGTGGTGGCAGGCGGCGCACGACCACCTGCGCTGCGAGATGGACGCCGCCGTACGAGACATCGCGGCGCGCTACCGCGAGTGCCTGGCCGCCGACCGCCGCGCCAAGGAGGGCTCCCCGGGACTCGACAGCCGCGCGTCCCTGCTGCAGCTGGCCGACGTCCTCGCCCACAAGGCGCTGGTGGACGCGCGCGTCGCCGTCGTCGAGGGCACCTACCGCGCCTCCGAGCGGCCTGACGCGACGCCGCGCGAAGATGCGCTGTCCTCGCTGGAGACGGACCCCGCCTGCGAGGCGGAGTTCGTCTACCTCTTCCAGCACTTCTCGAACGAGTGCCGAGCGCTCTTCTCCAGTGACTGTTCGAGCAACAGTGAAGACTCGATGAAGATCGGCGAGAGCCTCGAGCGGGTGGAGCGGGCCGTGGCGGCGGTGGAGCGGCGGCTGGGCGGCGAGGAGGGCGACGAGCGGGACGACGCGACCGAGTGGCGGGGCGGGCTGCTGGAGCGCGTGGAAGCGCTGCGCAGCCGAGTGGAGGCGCTGCAGGAGCTGGTGCCCTGCCGGCACTGCAGGCGGCTGCAGGAGGCGCTGGACCGGCTGGCGGCGGAGCGCGCGCGCGGCGAGTGTGCGCTGGCGCAGCAGGCGGGCGCGCTGGCGGCGGCGCGGCGAGCGCGCGCGCAGCTGCAGGCGCAGCACGAGCGCGAGAGGGCCGCACTGAGGGAGCGCGCCCGCACGCTGCAGCGCCGCCTGGCCGCGCTCGACTCCGAGTACTCCGCTCAACTCGACAGCCTTCGCGCCGCCTATCAGGTACATCCGTCTGATTACAACTTTCTTTTTGAAGATATTAAAACGTTACCCAAATTTTAGAAACACAAAAGAAATTATAATTGTGCGAATTTTAACCAACAAAATATAGATCAAATTTAGTTACATTATAATACAATTAATGGAGATTTTTATATAAACGTGCGTCGTTCAGAGCGCGGTGGCGGCGGACACTCACGGCGACGGACTGCGCGCGCGCTACCAGCAGGAGATCGAGCAGCTGCGCGCGCTGTGTGAGAAAGGCCTGCTAGCCATGGAGAGCTCGCACCGCCGCATCGTACGCGAGATGGAGGAGAAGCACCGCGCCGAGCGCGAGCAGCTGAGGTACGCCGCATCCCCAGCCGCAAGGCTCAGTGGCCCGAACAAGAGAGTACATTTGAATGTGCTCATATCCAATATGAATGTGATATTATATTATTCGTGTATATGTTTAGACTGGACAAGGAGCAGGCGCTGGCGGAGGAGACGCGGGCGACGCTGGCGGCGCTGGACGCGATGCGGAAGGCGCACGAGAGCGAGGTGCGCCGCGAGGTCGACAAGTTCAAGGCGGAGTTCCTGGCGCGCGCCGCACACGACGACCTCGGACAGCTCAGCTCGCGTCACCAGTCAGTACCCACCACCTTCACATACACTTTTTGAATAATTTCACTAAAAAATCTGTTCGACTGACATATGTAAATGTTGTAACAGGCAGGAGATGGAGGAAATAAAGCGCGAGATCCTGTCGCTGTCGGAGAAGTACTCGGTGAAGTGCGTGGAGTCTGCGGCGCTGGAGGAGCGGCTGGCGGCGGCCACCGCGCAGCTCGCGCAGGCGCACAACCACGTGATGCAGCTCGACGCCAGGTAACCAGCGCACCGGTCACACAGTGCGACACAGCTTCGCAGACATTATAGTCTTTTACTATTATAAGACTTTTAACTTTTTCTCGATATTAACTCAAGTGCTTTTTTTTACAGAAACAAACAGCTTCGTGCGCACATAATGTCTGAAGCGAACGAGATGAAGAACTCCGAGGCGGCCGCGCTCGCGCAGCTCATAGAGGACACCGCGGCGGTGAGTACTCACCCTTATTTCGCCTGACATAGGGACTAGACTCGCTTACAAAACCTAGGTCAGCTAAACGTCGCCAGTTGAATTAGACCACTTTAATTCGCACGTCATCTTTACTAAAAATCATTGTTAACAAATAATTTAACTAAATTTTATCTTATGAACTATCATTAATTTTCTCATTAATTCGGGTTCAGGAATCATTATGCACATTATCTCGCATTCTTTACTAGTTGTTTGAAATACAATTTTGCACCGACTTTGTAGATTTTATTAGTTGTAATTAATTTACGATGCGCACAACTAACCACTAATTAGCTTAGCTGTAGGTAAAAAGCAAAGTGAAATGTTTTTGGCAAATGGCAAGTCGGCAGCTAGTTTAGTATCGAATAAAGCTAAGCTGATTAGTATATGTTGTGCGCGCGGTGTGAGCGAGTGGCGAGTGGCGAGTGGTAACCGTGCGGTGACCGCAGGCGCGCTGCGTGCCGGCGCCGCACCGCACGTCCGCCGCCGCACGCCGCAACCGCACCGCAGGTAACCGCCCAGCGGTCGTGACAGTCAAACCTTATGCATTGTTATGTTATGTGTCGTATGTTGTGTTGTGCCAAACCTACGGGTCCCTAAGCGTTCGGCTTGTTTTGGTCAAATGTGTTGTCCAAATGACTTCAAATAATTCTTCCAAGTCTTTTAAAGTAAAAAATTTATAATTTATATCGATTTCCTTATCTCACCGTTAATTGTCTTGAATGGAGAATGGATAACGTGAAAGTTTTTTTTACAATTCATACCTCCCTGCCTGCAATTATACCATGATTTTTGGATAGAGATGTATTTAAGAAAATGAAAATAAAACAATAGTAAACAGTGTATTAATTATGTAATTTGATTTGAAGTAACGAAAATTTCAGTATTCATTGATTTTACATTATTCTCTGTTTTCATTCACTCATCATCAAGCTTGGAAATATGTTCCATTTGGTGTGAGAAATAACAGTAGTTGTTAACAATAGTAGAAATGGTTATGGGTTTTTTGTTTGACTATGATTTTGTTTTTTGGTTATGGGATTTATGTGCTTTGTTTTTAAAGGATTGCTTTCAAAGGACCTTTAAAAAATGTTCTATATTCGCCTTTTGTTACAATTATTTGTTTTAATTTGCTTATTGTTGTTAATGTGTTTAAATGCTTTTGGTGTCGTGTTTTAAATGAAAGAAAATTACTAAAATATTTCAATTTCTATTATCAGACAATATTTCAAACTTGTTTTTTTGAAATTGAAGTTATCATTATGAATCTCTTTATTTATGAATATTGAATATCTCATGACTCTGAGTTATATGTTGATGCAGGCGAAGTCGCCGAAGAGCAACAGCGTGTCGGAGGCGCGGCCGCGGGGCAAGCTGCAGTTCGCGACAGAGCCGCGCACCTCCCTGCAGCTCTCGCCCGTACAGGTACCATATACATTGCAATTACATCTCACAAACATTATTTGACTTTTATCCGACTCGAAGGACCATGGATGACACCTTATTGTAAAACATTGTAGAAGATTAAACATAGTTAAACATATTTAAATTATACTATTATTATGGGTATCTTGTACTTTCCTGAAAAGGGAGTTAAATGCAGTGAAAATGTTTGTCTGTCAGAACTGAAGGTTTCCCCTCTGGCGGGGCTGGTCGCCGCACGCAAGAAGCGCTTCGAGCAATGAGCGGCGACGCCGGCGACATCCAGCGGCGAAAACATCACAAAACTAACTATAAGCCTCTTCTTAGGAAACACAGCTTTAAGCGTATGGCCTTAAAGACGATTTTTGATAACATGGTCTTTTGACGAAATATCGTAGGCGTATGAATATAGTTCTCCTGTAGGATGACGTCACGACGCACCCACCACGCTAGCACCTGGCCACTTCGCTTCATATTATCAAATAAACAAATTAATATAAACTCTTTTAGTACCATACAGACAGATTGACTTAATTTATTTATATAAAAAGCATTGAGTTAACAATATATTAGACAAGGTTTTTATTATAAAAACTAGCTTTGTTTTCGCTTTGTATTGACGAGATCGTGAGATCGATTAAAGCAGACAGAACTGTTATGTTGTTAGGTTAGTTCCACTCAGACCAAAAATTACTTTTTCTACAAAAAGTGGCCAGAACTTTTAACTCCCACCCACCACGAAAATGTATATAACTATTGTTTGCATTGTTATTTACTTATTTCATTAAGTGTATATTACTTTTATCTTATAATTTCTAAACTTATAACAAATATTTAATAACTTAATATTGTGTGCAAGTAGCACTGAAAGTCTTTTTTCTTTTTTGCTGCTGCGTAGAGCAAAAGTATTGCTGCATCAGTGGTATAGAGGGCTTATCTTTTGTCTGCGCCTGCGCAGTTAAGTGTAGACTCAGGTTAGTGATGAGTTAAAGTTGTTTAGAAGCGGCAATGTAACATTGTGTATATACTAACCTCTCCCTATTGTTCTAGCTCGTGTTCTAGTGAATGCTGGTTTTATCTTTTAAGTTGTTCGTTACCAAATATATGTTATTTATGAGTTCTATTGACATTTGTTAAGACGACACTCCCGGCGGCGCGGTGCATTGCGCGCTGGAGCTGGCGAAGGCCGCGGCACCGGCCCGCCCGGCGCGCAATGTACCGTCTCCAGTCGGCTGTGTCTTAATGCTAAGATATAATGTCTCTTGTTTATTTTTGTAGATTTATACATAGATATACGTATATTATGCGCATTTGGGTGTAGTACACGTGTAGTATGAAATTTTTAATGGATTTTTATGGCACGTTTTTTTAAATTTAATGCTTGATGTTAGAAACTTTTTGTTTTTCTCACGATTTCTTAATTTTTTTTTAAAACAGATAACCGTTAATTTTCTTTGAAATGTTTTATTCTATAGTTTTTGGCACATGATTTGAAGAAGTTTTCTAACATCTTGCAAGATATATAGAGGCATATTTTTTGTTTTAAAACATTAACACTGTTTGTAGTCGATAAGATTTGTCACGAATCCCCTCTCCTGTCCTGTAAGCTGCGTGTTCACTTGTTTGTTACCATGTTTACTTTCCAAACTGGGCATTTTCCGGGCGAGTTTCGTCTTCCAACCCGTGTTTACGAGTTATGTACAGTGTGTCACGCTCCGACTGTAACGTCATGACGCCGATACAACGAGGAATTTGATAATTGTATAAACAAAAGAGTCAAGTCAGTCAAGGAATTACGCATCTCACTCAAGATACGATCCAGCACGAATGTATATTGGTTTAGACCTTACATGGGTATGAAATAAATTTCCTTGGCTGTACAAATTTCTCGTATGTCGTGTCAGTCACGTCCGTAGAGTCATGTAATGATTTGCTCAATATGTATCGTGTAATTTGTAATAATATGAAATACCAAAAGGACGTGTTTGTTGTACGTGCAGCAGCGCGGTCTGCGGCCGGTGACACTATTCTTTACATCATTTTATTATATACTAAATTAATCTACAACTTATTTTGGCTATGTAAAATTATATTCGGTCGTCATTGCCCCGAGTAATATACATTTTTTATAACTTTGTGCATAACTGTAGTTGGTTGCGTTGTAAAGTGTTACTCTATATAACAAAGATTTTTAAAATAAACTACTTAATACAAAGAAATCAGTTTTATTTTCACATTTTTAATATATAACATATATGTACTAAATTGTATACAAAAATTAAAAATAAATTATTTAAAACAAAATAACTAACATCTTATATGTACTTAAAATACGCCAAGCGTTTTAAAAAGGAATAAATTCTTGGCTATTAAAAAATCTATTTACAACAATCCTGCAAGGCTTACAATTCCAATGTTAAAATAATTTATCTTATTAAAATACTAGCGGCGATATAGTCAGGGTAAAATAAATAGAAATAGCGAAAATAAGACACATTAACTACTGTCCACTAAAAATCACTACAAAATCTGTGCAGCCGCTGCCTGAACGAGCTTGGCTTGAGTACAAACACAGATGAAACTTGAAAAAATAGACTTTTCGTTACAAACAACGCAAATACGTGTGTGAGTGTGTGTGTTATAAACAACGTATGTTCGTGTTACACACATTCCATTTTTATTATTCTCTATAATTAATATTTACGTATTTATATTCGAGAATTTACCGGATAGTTGTGTTGAGAAATACCATTTAATATGTCTTATAAAACAATCATCTTAAATTAACCCTAATAGTTTAAAAAAACTGGTACGAAACATAATAAGACACTATCCATATAAGAGAAGACAGCTAAAACACAGATAAATTGAAAACTTCCTTCAGTCATGAACTATCAGTAAATGAGGAACTATTCTGTTCTTACCGTACACTATTTTGTGATATGAGCTCAGAGTTGTATGAGCGGGAGGTCAGGTGCGGGAGGTGCGGGTGGTGCGGGAGGTGCGGGCGGTGCGGGTGGCGCGTGCCGTGCGTGTCTGCGGCGCGCGCGCCACTCGCTGCGGTGCGCGAGGATCTTACGTCCGTGCGCCGTGTGTATGTCGCGGAACGGCACCTTCTTGCGCGGAGCCTCACACCTCACGCTCTCCTTGTCTGTAAAAGACTCACATACTTGTATCAACAAATAAAAGATATATGCGGCCCTATATGCTGATAAATCACAACAGGTAATACAGGTAAGACAAAATTCTGTTTAAAAGTATAAGTAGTAACTGTTCTATCTCTACATACATCTCGGGGGAGATTTCTACATCACCCTCTATTTTATCATGTCTGTAAATGTATGTAAAACTGTGAGGCCCCTTTCTGTCCGGAAAGCCAGCGCAATGTCTAAGTTTGGTATGTTTAGATACAGGAAACACAAATCAGTTAATGCTATAAATAAATATTTATTATATTAAAATATATTTTGTATTGTATATGTAAAGACAGTGTCTAGTTATGTTATAAAAATAATATTTATATTTAGCATTAAAATAAACAAGTAACACAGCATTAGCATGTCACTCACGATGTCTACTGCCAGGTACGGACTTGCCGTCCTTAGCCTCACCGTCGGGAACGCGATTGAAGGGGTTGTAACGCTGCCCGCGCGGCGGCACCTTTGGTTCACGCTCTGGTGGACTTATGGTGATCATAGCCGCTGCTTCAGCCGCTTCCTCTGCTGTTAAATTACAAATGGACCGTAAACATCTACTGAAAAAAACTGGAAAACTAAAAAAAGTCAGGATTTAGTCATTACATTGCAAAACATCTAATTACAAATGGCTAAATATGGCAAATACAAATATTACATGAGCATCTTTCCATATTTCCATTTAAGGAGTCCTAATATTTAACATTTGCATAACATTTATAAATGTTAATAGGCCTTGACTATAACATACATCAAAAACAGACCTTGCACTTCATCCAGCTGTCTTTGCAACTCGGCCACCATGAGCTTCATGTAGTCATAGCTGGCGCAGGCGAGTGCCTTCATCCATGCCTCCATGGATGCCTGCGAGTTTGTACACAGGTAGTATGTCCTGCCTCCCTCACATTGGAATACTATTTTAAAACTGTAAGCTTCCTCCTCTGTCAATTCTGGAATTGAACAAGAACTCTTTGAACATGTTTTCAGAAGAAATAAAAAAGTAATTTTTAGTTGGGATTGTTACTCTTTCTTCACATCTGCTTAAAGTACTAATACTGATCGCAGATATAGCCTAAAAAAAAAGTTGGGATTGTGTTTCTTTTTGTGGAGTATATAATACATATTCAAACCTTTCACTAAAATAGTAATATTGTATTTTATAATACAATTTACTTATGGCACAGTGATTACTTTCATGAATAGCCTTGTGATCATAATTTAATGCAAATATTACAAACAGTGCATGACAGCTGTTATTGTACTCATTTTCACATCAACATTCACTTTCACTTAAATGTTACGAGTATCAATGAAAATGATAGTAGTACTGTAAATTGATACCCTGTTTGAAAATAAAAGTAAAACCAAATGCTTATAAGTATGCCTGTACGTCATAATGAGCCAATTTACTTACCGATTGTACATCCTTCAAGTATAACTACTCCAACTGGATCCTTGTCAGCTTTCTTGTCGAAATAAAATAGTAAGTTTCCTTTCAGGGTAAACCATCGTCGTTGGTAACTTTTACCTATTTCACCTCGCATGTCTAGCCATCCCTCGCGGTCCACTGGAGTCGTGGACGATGCAAATGCACCCAAATTCTTTTCATTTATTTTCATCTTTATTTACTGATATGGACAACGCCTATTTTTATTCACTTCTACTAACTTAAACTCATCACTCAATGAATCGTAATAGTCTTTTATGTACAACGTCAAACACTAAAATACCACGGTAGCAAATCATTCATGTTTGCATAATATATATTATGTTCTCGGCCTTTTTCCTTTTGATAAAATCTTAGACAAAACAAATCAAGCACAGCAAAGAAATTTCGCAAATTGACACTGACATAAGAATGGAAGACTCGATGACATTTTAACATTTTGTGTTGCCAGGTTTGGTTTTTAACTTATTACCATATTTTACCTAACTTAGATATACTAGAAGCGGTAACACTGGTAATGTTTTCCTTGATATTTTGGTACTCCCCTTTCCTTTTTTTGACCATATTATGTACTCTGGTTCTTTCATCATAAAAGGTATTTTAGCAAATGTAATGTTTTTATGCTAGAATGACCCAAGTAATGCCGGGTACAAGCTGTGGTCGGAGGAATGCATCTGAATTATAAGAAATGACTAATTATGAAATAAAAGAAGGCTTTAAATATGTAATATTTTATTCATAATTGTTATTACCTATTTTCACAGTTATTTATAAAGTTATATTAATATCAATTATTACGCTAGTTTTGTTTACGATTTTCTAATGATTGCTCCATTTAGAAAATTTGATTTCCACATCAATCATCAGATTCGACCGCTTACCAACTTATATATGACAAAATGGTGGTCTATGTACAGTACAATCCCAATTCCCTAAAAAAAATTGACAAATTCACAATAACAAAAAAGTTAAAAACAAAAAATCCTAAAAATAATTCATTCAACTACGAATCTCGCTTAACAACTGTACAAATACGATAAGTTACGAGTGGTTTCTTTAAATCGTGCGCCGCGCAGGTCGGCGACGTGGGCGGGGCGACAGAAGGTCACCGTCGGGCGCGCTCGACGCCCCGCCCCCATCCCCGCCCCGTCTGCTCTATGTACAAAGGGTAGTTTTACAAAAACAAAATAATATAAACTATATACAACATCATTAAATATTCTCAAATGCTGTAACACATTTAAAACATTTCATATTCAACTAGGCGTAACCAGTGAGTAGCGGACGGGCCGCTGTCACCGTCAATAATTTATGTATACCGCCGCCGCCCTATCATACAAACTGTACAATTGTCTACTCCTCCGCTCCTCTCAATAAATACGTAAGAAAAGAATTTTTACATTAATAAGCAACAAAAACACGCTACTTTGTAAAGTTCGACTTCTTCCTAATCTTCTAACGGAAATAACTTTGTAACTTAGCAAGTCTGATCGGGATTCAATTGCAAGTTTAATATAAATGTATAATAAACAATTGTGAACCTTACGCGGTGAGTATAAGATTCAGATTTATATACCTACCTATATTGTTGCTTGCAATCGTAACAAGAGATTAGAATCAAGTTGGGAGCCGCGTCCGCTCGCACTCTGCACAACACGTATTCTGATATATTTACATGTATATATTTATTTACTTTACATTTTAAAATAGATATATATTAAAATAGAAAATTCAATATAACTACCAAACTGCCAGAGATTCGACGTATAGACATCGCGAGTGTTGTCCGACGGGATCCATCTATATTTTGTATAAAACTTCTAATAATACAAATGCTAATAAAACACGTCCTACGGGCATTTATAGCTATTTAACTAATCGTAAACTATTGGTGTCACAAAATGTTGTTTTCAATCGGAGGTTTTGAATTGTACACTATTAGAAAAACGCTACATTTATATAGAGAGTATCCAGAGATTGTGCGCGGTGGCTTTTCCATTATAATGTATGAAGTCAGCTGTTTGCAACGACCTTGTTCCCAGGATATGAACCTGTGTCCGACGCCCACCGGCCTCAATTCTCCTAATGTAAAATTGTCTCTAAAGGTAAAGCTACATCCACACGAGTCGACTTTTAACCGATACAAAAAATGTAAAAAATAATTAGATGTACCAACGTAAAAAACCTATACAAAAATAAAGTTTAAAAGAGTAACGAGTGGTATTCGTTATTTGGATATATAAATACAAAAGGAGAACCCTGTGAAACGAATTTACAGAGAAACAAGGATGGTAATAAAATATCTAAAAGACTACACAAATACCTAATTCCTTTGGTAATTCATACCGGTCACATACAAGTTATATATTTATTACTTCCTACAAAGTTCAACAATGTAATAAAACCTTTTTGTTACTGCAACACTAAAACATTGGCATTCTAATAGAAAAGTTGAAGACAAGAATAAAGACAACATTATGTGAGATAAAACGTGGAAAGGGAGAAAATAGTTACAAAAGAGATGTGATTTGAGGGAAGTTCAAACAATTCGTAATAAACCTTTAGTCTACAACCTTTGGAAGTTGCATTTGTGATGTAAAATAATCAAAATAGATTTTATAAAATACAAAATTACTTATAAAGTAAAATATAAATAGTGTGATTATTCTTTTTTAAGACTAATTATTTGACAAAGTGAAAAAAAAGGTAAGTTTTAGTAAAAATACGTTACAACATGTACATATGTTTTCTTGCCATTACATTACATTTCAAAATATACATTTATCGTATATTGTTACAAAAATGAGACAGGCAAGTATAGAAACATTCACTTACAATATCACTTCAACCAAATTGATTAGTCTCTAAAAATACTATTGTAAAAGAATATTAAAGGAATATAAATAATTGCATTTGATTATTTGTACATAGATAAATATATAATGTTATAATACTAAAGAAAATGAGGTTCATTCAAAAGAAGATTGGATTAAAAGAGATCATGGAAGAATGAAATAGAATGAAAGACATGAGTGGAAGTGTGTCAGTGCGCAGTACAGCGGGGGAAAGACATCCATATAACATGGAACTAATAAACATCAAAAAAAATCCTCCTCTAAGTTAGAATTGGACCATCATAAGATTTTGTTATACATAACAAACTAACTCCCCATCTTAACTACATTTCTCTATTAATATTTTAACATTCAATACTCAAAGGAGCTTGTGCGTGGTAACACTCCCCGACCACTAGTCAACTCCTAAACAAAACCACACACCTTCTTTACCGTACACTATTATATATTACTCTGACTTAATCATATCCCTTCAACGATTTTATAAAGGCCCTACACATTTGACAACAATCTCTTTACATTAAAAATGCCCTTTTAAATACACGCCCTACCAACATTAGTTAGCCTAATAATCTGTCGCTTTGGAATTACATCAAAAACAGCGTTGTAAATTAAAATATAAACTTTGTTGATAAACAAATCGTCAAAAATGTGTTTTTAATTAAAAACTTACGCGTCAAAACAAATAAAAACTGTCTTTTTCTGAACCCAAATAACATTAGGCAGCATATAACTGTCATATTTCATCAAATAAATAGTAAAATACACCTGGTACAATCATTATAACCTGATGAATTAAATGATTCAAGTGTAAACAATTTTGTACTCTTAATTTCATAGATTGGGTTTCCAGAATTATTAAAAATATATTGCAAATCGACCTTTGAAAAGAGAAAATTACATTCGGCTATACTAAACATGAAGATAGTGTTTTTAAAGATAACTAGCCTTGAGTAAAACAACGACTTGTCTTTATAATAGTCGACTTCCAATACATTTAGTATCAATTTCACAGATGTATAGTGCTAACTCATGGTAACCTTATATCACTAATACCTAAGCCATCTCTCGCCTCACATTTCCAACACGTAACAATACAATTCAATTGGTTCCTGTCTCGACTGCTTGTCATGTCACACGTCAATTACAATTTGTTCCGCACAAGTCTTGAAGAGTTCAATAAATAACACTAGAAAGGAGAGCACGACACAGGTGCGTCATATACAATAATTACTTCCAAACAAGTATAATATTAGATAAATAATTACAAGTATATGTATTATTCAAATTCCCCAGAAGTCACGATATTAATCGCGGAACCGATTCAATGGTATATTCTTATCGGGGAGTCGTACAAAAATATGAACTGCAAGGCGGACCTTTTCATTCATCTAGCTAATAAGTTAAGATGTGGTGATGTGGTGGTGAGGTGGTGGCGGCGGAGTGGGTCTAGCCCAGCGCCGCGGCCGTGTGGTAGAGCTGCATCAGCGCCTGCACGTGCAGCGGCAGGCAGGACAGGCGGTCGTGCGTGCTGCCGTCCAGCGTCAGCCACGACAACGCGTTGTACCCCTCCAGCACGTACCTGCAACGGAACCACAAAACACAAACGTTACTTTTATCGTGTCGTATTTCACCACTGTGCATAGCTGCGCAGACTAGGAGAGCGGCCGTGCGACCTACCTGAGCACGTCGGTAGTGGTCTGCGAGTCGAGGGGATGCGAGTTGTTGTCGCGGCGCTGCATCAGAGATGTGAAGTCGTCGGAGGTCTGCGCGCTGCCGGAATGCAGGTGCAGCGCGTTCTTGAGAAAGGCGGGGCAGGAGTCGCGCAGGTGCGCGCAGCCCGCCCACCACCAGGCGGGCATGGCGCCCAGCGGCGCCGTCGAAACCAGGTAGCCCAGCGCTAGCGGCTGCTGGAGGATCGTGCCCACCTGCTCCTGCGCAGCGAACCACCACACACACTCAGTGTCAAGTTACTAGGTAGAACGAGTGGCGTAGCGACCACGCGGCAGTGACTTGACAGTCGTAATGCTTTAACTGAATACATGATATTTAAATGTATACTGGAACGTATGACGTACCGGCTGGTGGTCGTCGGCCTGGCGGTAGGAGCCGGGCCCGAGGGCCGCGCGTCGTGCGGGGCTGCCCTCGCGGCTGCCGGCGGCGTCGTCGTCGTGGCGACGCGGCGAGGCGCGCGGGCTGCTCTGCGCCCACATGTTGGTGAACATGTCGTTGATGATCAGGTCGGCCATGTTGTCCTCGCCGATGTCCTCGTCTCCCATGTCTACGCCCATGAAGATGTCGTTGTCCTCGCCGTTCGCCATCGGCTGCTCGAACGGCATCTGATTCGACTGCAAACAAACACAAACGGTCCATATGAAATATAATTGGCAACACGCCACATAGTGCCGATGGTGCATTAATTTTTTTTTTGCCGTTTATGTATAGTTTCTAAAAGTGATAGTGCAAAAGAAGCAGTAAAGGTGTGTACCTGTGTTTTAGCGGAGGTGGGGAAGACCAGTATGTGCGTGGCGGTGACGTCACGCGGCGTGTGCAGGTGCGACTGTATGGAGGCCTGGGAGAAGCGCTCGTCGGGCGTGAAGCGGTCCGCCATGAGGCGCAGGCAGGGATCGGGCTCCGTGGACACGAGGCAGGCGGACAGCACGCAGGGCGCGCCGCCCGGATACAGCGTCGCGCAGCTGCCGCAGATCTCGCGCAGCACGCTCGACGCGCGCACCAGGTTCTTGCGCGACAGCAGGTAGCTCCAACCTTTGAGCTCGCCGTGCCCGATGCGCCCGACGCGGCCGACGACGAGCCGCCAGGGCTGCGCGGCCTGCGACATCACGCCCAGCGTGAAGTCCATCAGCTTGGTGAGGCCCAGCCGCCGCGCGGGCGCCGAACGCCGCCGTCGCGACCTGCAACGTGCACCCGCGCACTTTTACATAACGAACATACGACATCTTCATGGGTGCCTCATCGAAACAATAACGCAACTGAAATAAATATATCTCAATGTCCGTAGTGGTCTTGTTGGATCACTTACCTGGCGGGCACGTGTATGTTGATGGCGGCGGTGTCGAGCAGCTCCCCGCGCGCGTCTGTGGCCGCGGCCAGCAGCCAGCGCTGGTCGTGCGACAGGCAATACGCCACGAACAGCACAGAGCACTGCTCGCCGCACGCCGTACCCCACGTCTCGGCCACCTCGCGCAGCGCACGCGGCGGAGCCAGCACCCACGCCGGCGTAAACAGCCGGTACGCTGCGCGGTTCTTCTCCTGGCAATCATATACATACATGTATCACAATTAATTTCAAATCTTATTATAACATAAAATGTTGCTTTTATATTTGCTGAGTTAGCTTACGTCTTTGTTATTGAGGAAGAGATTTGCGTTGGCGGCGGTGCCGAAGCCTGTGAGCGACTTGCCGTTGGGTTGGTGCTGAAGCAGCCGGCGCGCGCCGCAGAACACGCTGAATGCCAGCGTGCGCAATTCTGCGCCGCCGCCGCGCCCCGCACCCCACGCGCCCCGCCCCGCCCAGCACTCGTACACGCCCTCCAGTGAAATAATCTGAAATTAACAAACATGTTTCTAATGTTATTTCTAATGTTATTTCTACTAGTATAATATATCATCTGCGATTCTACGAAAACCTTTGTTGTGTATATTTATTGATCTTACTCCTTTTATGAGATGAATATACATTTTTTACCTTAATGTATGGATTGTGATGTTGCAGATGGTGATGGGCCTGTGCAGCGAGCCTCAACAAGGCGTGAAGGGCGAGCGCTCGGTGCGCGTGCGCGGCCGGCGGCTCCACGAGGTACAACACTAGCGCCGGCGGGCCCGCCTCGTCCTCCTCCCAAACGGGCGCACTGGCGCTGCCGCCGGGTGGCACCTCGCCGGCCTCACCCGGCTCCCCGGGCGTGCCCGGCTGCTCGGGCGCCGCCGGTGGCCGCATATTGTTTCCCTTCTCCCCCTCGAAGAGCACGCGTTCGATGTTCATTGACGACAGTTGAGAGGTGAGCTCTCGCAGCGTGTCCGCATACGCCCTGATGTACTCGCCGAGCCGGCCCGGCGGCAACTCGCCGGCCCACTCATCGGTGTCGCAACGCTCGCCCGCCACCGTTCGCACGATGCCGTCTCGCGCTATCCTCGCGATCGGCTGATGCCTGCCCAGGCGGCACGCCTCATACGCCGTGGAAAGCTCGCGAAAGAACGCTCGGAGCGGGTCGGTGAGCGCCTCGCCGTCCGGCGCTAGCGCGACGTAGGCGACGTCGCGCGCGTACGAGTAGGGCTCTAATGAAAGCCTCTCCCAGTGGCGCAAGGCATAGGGCGACAGGGAGATCCAATCTCGGTCATGGCCGACCAGCAGCGGCGGAACTGGCTGTGGCTCACACAGATCCTCGTTGCCGCGCCCCGCCAGCCGGTGGAACTGCCGCCACGTAAGGGGACCGGTGACACCGTCCCACATACGGGCGCCGCAACATCGCTTCTGGATGGCGTCTTGTAGCAAGGGCCGAAGTCGACGCATTAATCTGACGACGTCACGGGAGGAGCGCGGGGCGCGCGCGCCGATAAACGGCCAACGATGTACTGCGCAATGCGCGCCGCCACCACTGACAGCACCCGCACCCGCTCCCGCCGCCGGCCCGCCCACCGCCGCCTCACGCAGCGCGCTCGCTGCAGCCGCGCCTCCGTCACTGTACCTGCGATGAGAATATGACACAAATGATCAATACACGTACAGCAAATAAGATTTGTAATGATAAAAAAAAACGGAAAAATAAAAAATATGAATTAACATAAGCCAATCAGAATATCAGATCTCGATCTCTTCGAAGATTCTATGTTAACATCTTAAGTGTTTACTACTTTTGTTGATGATGTCCATAAAGCATCTTACAAAAACAAGAACTGCGACAACTCAACCTTTTTCATGATATTTGTGCTTGTGCACATTACTGTTAATGAATTAACGCGTGACTCACTCGAGAAGATTAAGGCGCAAGTGGTCGTGTGCGGGCTTGGCGTCAGCGGCAGCGC